GTTTCTATCAATCATCGTATCAGCATTGCACTGTTTTCTTATGACCACTTGTATATAACTGTGATATACTATGTTTATATAATATATATTATTTTTTCTTACTGCATATACATTCATATAATTTATGTCTTATTGACACCAATCTCTTGCTGTATTTATTGTAACGTATTTAGAAGTTTCTTATCATTTTTGAATATTTTTTTATTATTGTTATTGTAATATAATGTGATGTGTGAGTTACTGTGTCCAAGTAATTTGCCTTGTGGATCAAAAAAGTCTGTCCAAGTCCAAGTCCAAGACTAGTGCTATAAATGGTTTCTGGATAACCTTTATTGTAGATTGGGTGTGTAGGCAAGAGGTGTTCAGAGGAAGCAGAGTAGCATGGTGCTGTCTGCAACTGCGACACTGTCACTGCACATCACCACTACAGTCCCCAAACACACACAAGGCAACTTCTGAGAGTACACACTCACACAAGTCTTTTAAGGATGTTGCATATCAAATACATGAAACCAAAACAGACCAAAAGACATACTAACCTTGATCATAACCTCTTTTAATATGATGGTGATGATGGTTAACTGATCCCCACAAGATTTGATGAAACAGCAAGCACACCACACACTTTTTTCTTTTTTCAAACCTATTAGATGCCTTGAAAGTATAGGTATGATAAATGATGCCTGAAGCAAATCAATAACATCCACAAAAGTATACTATTTGGATAAGACTAGGACACATCAAATAGCAGCTTCATTTTCAAGTTGGTTGTAAATAAAAGAAAAAAAAGGGACTCCCTCTGATGGTTAACTGTATGTTTAAAGCCTTCTTTTACTTCCATAACACACGGCGGCACTAGTAATGATTGCATAATTACCCAGTGGCTCAGTAAATCACAGGCTAATTGCACACAGATTGCAGCTGTAAATAGAATGACATCATCTGAAGCACCTGTCCATCAAAAAGTCCAGAGAGACGCTTACTAAGATGTCATGTTCATTAGTAATAAGGAGTGTATTCGAATTGTAATTAAAAAAAACAAAAAACAATACAATAATGATACAGTTTTTGCATTCAATATTACACATTGTTATACATTGTTAAAGATGCACTGTGCAACTTGTCCAAGGGTCCATCATCTCCATGGAGATGTGCTTGAATGTTCTACAGAGTCTCCACTGAGAGAAGCTCCCAAACTCACAGTAAGAATTAATGTTTTTTAAGATATTTTTGAGCATTAAATAACACCTGTAGTTGAAAAACTGCAAGACATATTATTTTAATACAATACTGTGGTCAGTTTAAACCAAAGCATTAACATCTCCATGGAGACAAACAGGTTGCAGACACTCTCCAGAAAAGTTACACTCTAAAATAAATAGAACCTTTATTTACTGCACAACAAATGCCAGTGTACTAGTATATGTCTTTTTTCTACTATATATAGCAAAGATTTCTGTAGTAAGGCCCTTAATGAAATGTCATCCAAGTGATCGTCTATGAGGTAATTGAACTGGGAGATGGTGATGGACAGTGTGGCCTTCTGCCTCTCTATAATTGGCCGAGTGTCCTTATAGCAGCACTGGTCATACAATCAAATAAAGCCTCCTCTTGTCTCTTGTAAAACACACATCTAACAGCTCTAGCTCTGCAGTCTGAAAGTGCCAGTTGTCTCTAACCATAAAGCCTGCATCTTTTCCTTAATAAGTCCTCCATCGCAGCCGCAGATTCCCCGGGAGTGGTAATGAGAGAAGTGTTATCTGTCTATGTGTGTGAAGACGGGCTGTGTGAAGTCATTAGAAGATGTAATTAAGTCCTATTGTAACAGAGAGGCTCGTTAGCAGACAAGGCTCTTAACTATGGGGTGTCATTTCTGGGATTCTGAAAATGACCTATATGGACTGAGAAGTTTTAGTCTAAGATTACCTTTACTTAGATGTAACATATACAATGCACAATAGAGATATTTTCTGAAGAAACTGTTATCTGTAAAAGTATTGCGAATGTCATATAGATCTGGTTTTGTTGTCCATGTTTTCTCCTTGCCATTAGTCGTAGCCAGAGGGAAGAAGAAGAAGCATGAGGCTGGACTTGTTATGCGAGAAGTTTTTTTTTACTATCAGTATGGTACCCAGGATCTGCAGATATGAACCCTCCATTGTAGGGAGTAGGGAGTATTACACCTCAAAATCACCAAGATAACAAGGACTGAGCTAGCTGTGTGGGTCTGGCACAGCACAATTTCTCTGTCAGCTTATTTTACATTTGTTTGCCCTATAGTTCTTGTCCTTGGTATTTTATGTTATTACTTTTTATGTGTCCTGTGAGTTCACTGTTGCCAGTTTAGTTAGTAAATTTTTTGGGATTCCTCTGGTTTTGAGGGCCTTTTTTTTTTTTTTTTTTTTTTTTAGTTTTGGACTATTTTGGAGATGTCTGTTTTTCATCCATGGTACTATATTTTTATTTGATTGCTTTTATATTATCCATCTGCTTTTCACCGGGTTTGATCTTGACTTTGGGGAAAAAAAAATGAAGTAGTGGTGAACTCACAACCACAACCTTGCTTTGAGGCATTTCTTGCATTGCAGTTAAAAGTTGATATCCCTCGCTTGAGACATTTCGTCACCATTTCAGACACCAGAGAAATATCGCTGTACGCCACAGGGGACCTTTGTTTTCCTAATATTGGGACAGCCCAACAGCCCTGGTGTGAGAGTGAAACCAAACCTCAAACATCAGTCAGAGGAGCTGAGCCAAGCCCCTGTCAAACAGCTCCCTGTGCCCAGCTCTCCAAAACAATAGTCAGGGCCATTTCTTCTCAAAGTGCTCATGCCATTTCCCTTTAAGTGACAAACCAACTATATTCTTACTATAAATAATATCTGAAACACCCACCAACTTAAAAAAAAAAAAAAAAAAAAAAAAAGCTTCTTATACTTCACAATTGAACCAATGGTAGAATATCACTTTTACCTTAAGTTTATTAAAGAATTATGACAGGGTGAAAAAAATAGATGTAACTAAATCTCACTAATTTAAGATATGACATATGACAGCTTCATATTAAAAAACAAATACCATTTCCAGAGATTGAAAAAAATGTTTTAACTATTGTTTTGATTTTAAGGATGACACAATATATCTGTTACCATTAAGATGTTGATTAGAACATTATTTTGATGTGTATTTATCACACAAACCATGTCACATTCATACTTGGAACCATACATTATTGTGACACTTCCTCCTGACTTCTAACTGCTCTGATCATGGACAGATTTGGTCCTGGTGTTTATGGATTTAACTCTTGCATTGGCCTGGCTATGCAGATGGGCAGGATTGACCCACCACAACCTTGGAAAGATGCCCCTGGTGGCGGAGGCGACCTCAGGACGGCCCATGGTGCAATGCAGCAGAGTAGATGAGAGCTGCTCTGACCCACATGCACAAAGAACAAGTGAAACCAGTGTGCTGCTGGAGAGCAAAGATACACTGTACACAGCCCAGATCAATAATACACATGGGGAATGCAGGGGTGTGTCTGAGGCTCTCAGCTGTGTCTGTCTAACCAACATGACTGTGCACAATGTAGTACTCACTCCGGATAATGCACAGACATGAGGAAGGCAGGATACATGTAGGACATCAATAATAAATACTGTATATGAGTCACTAATGATCACAAAGGGATAAAACCATTATGGAACCTCACAACAAATTAAAAACCAGCATGCAGAGGAAAAATTTAACCACAAAATGTATATTGTCTTTAAAGTATGGGGCGTAAAGATGATTACTCATTAGCATTTACACTGTTGTCTTTTACTATGCAGTGCAGCAGCAGACTGAGATGTCGTGTTATGAGCCTGGGGATCCATAGACTGTATATATATGGATATAGCTAACGTGCTAGCCGGCACGTTTCAAATAGAGAGTGGACATGGGCGCTAAGTGAGCATCTGGTTTTACGGGGGGTTTTTTTTTCAGACACTCTTGTGGTCGCTAAAGCCTGGTGACCCTGCCCCTGATGTAACCATAACAAAAATGTTTCACTCGATATACAGTTGATCCTATCTTACATTGTGCCAGGACATCCGATGGGAGGAAGATGAATGTCCAAACAGCAGAGTGAGTGACTGATTTTATGAGTCATTAAACATTGATCATGCTTCACAATCTGATCAGTCAGACCACATCCACCTGCTTTTACTTGAAAACAAGCAGTGTATTTATGTTTTTAATGAACAGCATGCCCACACTTTATGCTACAAACTCTGTGTCTGTGATGACCTTCAAAAGGGGTGTAACTATCTGTACACATATTTCAGCTTTTATGGCAGTGTGAGATAATTCAATTAAAGAAAGAGGCGAGGTATTTTGCCAAGTGGATAGACGCCAAATAAACAAAAAAAAGAATTGCCATAAATCACTGTTGCATACAACAATATGAATTGATAACAACATCTAAATACTATTTCTAATTTAGCCTATTGATTCATAAAAATAAAAAAAAACCTCAGATCGCCAATGTCGCATTCACTGTGCTGATTTTTGATGTAACGGATATATTACCATATTTGGTGGGTAATGCTAATTCCCTAATAAAAAATGTATTAAGGTTTACTTGGTCTGTATTATAGCATCACCATGAATACAAATTCATAAACAAACACATCATAAAATCTTAAAGAAATGAACCAGAAAATGTGAATTCTATGTATTATAGATGGTTCATGTCTTAAAATACATCTTTACAGCGCAAGATGCCCTTTAACACTTCAACCTCATTATGAGATTTACAGCAAATCCAGTGTGGACTTTGACCTCTCATTCAAACCACACTCTGACCTCGTCATCATACATTTCTCTCAAGGGCAATAATAAAAACAAAACCATAAAGCTGTTTTACATAAAGAAGACTGTTTATTATTTGATATATATTCCATATGCATCTTCATATAATAGATCTAATACCAGTAAGTCAAAAATAATAATCATATAATATTTATGTAGAGATATATAGATATAAAACTAATCCAATAGTCTACTTAGACCTTGTAAAAAACAATATGGAGAAACTGATAAGCGTCTCCCCAGCTTTAGTATATAGGCGCTTAGAGGGAGCAAAAATGACTAAAAGAACATGACACCTGAACATTGCATCTTATAGAACTACAGTAATAGTAGATTATCTGTGAGCAGCTAAAGTCCACCATTTTGGTTTAAGACACAGGATAGAACAGCTTTTGACAAATACACAATTGCAATTTTGCTTCTAAAAGTTCAGTTTGAATGATGAAACACTCAGATCAGGCATTATATCATGACCATTGACAGGTGAAGCACAAGTGCTCTTCGCTTAATGGCAACTGTTGGATACATAAGACAGCAAGACAACACTGGCTCTTGTGTAGTGGTCCATGTCTGCAGAGGTCAGCGATCCACTGAAGAAATAGTAGGTTCCCGGTGTCCATCAAAACTAGTCACTGATTCTGGTTCTGACAGAAGGGATTATGAGGCTGTGTAGTTAGGCAAGTGGTCATAATGTAATGCCTGATTTGTGAGTTGCAGATATGAAGAACACACTCTAATCACCCAAAGACAAAATATTACAATACATCTCAATACGCACTGGTGATGATTAAAACAAGCACCTTTGAAATTACTGGAGGACAATGGTTGCTAGGGAAGAATACGGAAAATAAAGGGTATGAAGTCAACTTTGAATGTGCTTCTTGTTGATGGTCTACTTTTGTAAACAGTAAGCAGCAAACTCCCAATGTCTTTGTGCGTTCCTGGAAGTCTCACAGTTGGCAGGGACAATACAAATTCCTTCATTAACCGAGATGTCCGCATCTAGAAACCTTGTGAAACTGAAAAGGATGCAAACGTAGAGCAATAGCCTCACAATGACTATCCTGAGTCACTAATATGAAGACTTGCAGCAGTGGAGACTAGATATCCAGGACAGCAGGGGACGTCTTTTCCATTCTTTGGGGAGTCGCAAAGTCGAACTATGGTCAAGAAGAGGCATCGAAGCTGCAGAGACAAGAAAGGGCACACATGTAATTGAAACGCAAATGGTTTCAGGTCATTAAGAGACAAAGTGATACAAGGTGAACTGTGTTAACTGTGATGGGTTGCACTTATCTACATTTGCAGATGATAATGGTTGGATTGGTTGATTAGGTAAGGTGCACAAAGCACTTTCTGCTTTTCCTAGAATGTTCCACAGCAAGGCGTTGAATTGTTCTCTCCATGGACATATCTTTAATGCTCTAATTCTAGGCAAAGCAATAACACCTCCATGGAAACATACAGATTATATTGTGGAACCTTTAAGATAATAATCTTTAGCCCAGTGTAGAAAGTGAGGTATCTCATTTTAACTTTTCATTCATTCTGTATTGAATTTTGTTGATATCCATATTTGCACGTAACAAAAATTTTGAAGATTTAAGTTTGTCGTAATATTAAAATGTGCTGTGTAGAATATAGACTATTTAACATCTTAACAATATTGCCTTTTTCTTCACCCATTACAACTAAGCTAACAGTATTTGGAGAGGGCATGTGTGTGTTGCCCTCACATTTTAGGTGATGGGCTGACAGCGTCTATCTGTGTTCTTTCGTCAAAACATACAGTCGATCTCCATCGAGGGAAGACACAGTTTCCAACATATAAGTAGAATATATTTCACTCACTTTGTTACCACTTAAGATTCTTGCACATTTTCACAAAAGCCACACTTTTATCTAGTACATTTTTTAGGCGAGGGCCAAGGCTATGTACTAACAGAATGCTGTAGATTTTGACTATGAACCAATCAGCGCGCAGTACCAGCTGTTCACTCACAACAGAAACAGTAGCTGAGTGTGAGAAGATGGTGAACATTTGCAGACAATTAAGTTTTAATCTTTTGCGTTATTGTAAAAGCAATATGCTACTGTATGTTTCTATATTAGTGTCCATAAAATACGCTATTACAACATACAGATTACCAAAAAAATTTAGAAATAAAAGGGGCCACAAATCTATTTCAAACCCCTGATGAATGTAGATCATGTGAGCAGAAAACAGACTCCTCAGACTGGACCTCTAGGAACTGCACGAAAAAAGGCTGTTGGCCCACCGCTTCCACGGGTTAAAACATGTCTAATATAGTCCGGTGTGACAGTGCTGGTCAGAGCACTAGTGTCTCAGGGGGAGCTGTGTCTTGTCTTGCTCTCATTAAATATTAACAGCAGCATCTCGGCCTCCCGCTGGGGCCTGATTGAAGATGTGTGGGGGAGCTCATGGGACGAGGACAAGGGGGGGTCACCTTTAGCAGGTGTCCCCCAATGTAAGCCCTGTGATTACACTACAGACCACAGCATGCATGCAAACATATTAGTCACCCAAAGCTGCAATGACATGAGGCCAGCTCATTTCAACATTAAAATGGCTGTACATGATTTTTTTTCTGTGTATAGACAAGCTAAATTTGTTTTACCTCACTAGAGATATGTTGTATAAGCTTCTCCTATGATAGAAATGAGATTGCTATGTGCTGCCAGTATCTAATTTCATCTCCCAAGAAGCAGGAAGTGTGCTGTTAGCATGTCAGTTCTTGTTAACATTACTGTGATGGCAAAACTCCAGTCTGGCCCCTTAAATTTGTGAAAAGCTCATTGCGGCAAATAATTAGGATGCTAGGAATGAAGCTTTGGACCTTTGCAAACTGCAAACTAAATGTTTTTCAGATTTTGAGATGAAAACCAGGTACAGCGCCTATGTTTTCTGCTATGAGCTTCAAATATATTCTCAAAGGGTAGTCTATTCTTTTTCTTACCTGTCCCATAGCTTGACATTTCTACAGTTGTTGGTGCAGCATCCGGCCGATATCAAAGCTGAAAAGAAGAAGAGCAAGAGATGAGAGACACATTTGAAATGATCAGACCAGCCCGTGCTCATTACTGTAATGATACAGTGCTGACATCTGTCCATTTAGAAAAACACAACAAGTTAAATTGACTCATACATAAAACATGATGATTGAGGAGAAAATATTGTGTAAACCAATGGGGAATACAAGTAGAAGCACAGGCAAAGAGTTTATGAGCATAATAAACGCAATTATAATATATGATTACACAGTACAAAAATTATTCTTAGTCTGTCATTAAAGTATGTTTTTTTTTCTGTATGTAACACAAACTGTATAAAGAATTGGATTAAGGGAGTGTCACATCACCCAAAGGCTCCGGTCAAATAAAGCACACGATGCTATAGTACTTATAGGAGTGAATTCGTAACCAGGTCCATATTAGGAATAGGAATTTATTTATGTACAAAATAGAGAGATAAAAACACCAGGATCATGTAGAACAGATTAATACAAACATTTTAAGACCAAAATGATGATGAAGAAGAAGAAGAACTGGCAAAGAGAGGGGTGACAATTTTCCACTGTAAAGTCAATTGGAAACACTATTTGAAACGTGGCGGCTGCAGGTTAGCTATGTCCATTTATATATAAAGACTATGGCATGTACTCATGTTGTGACGTGTACCTATTTTAATGAACAAAGGAGTTGCAGACATTTTTCCCTTCTGTACTGAAGCCTATATGCGGGGTAGGGTAGTGTGATAAGAAGGTGGCAATTAAAGGCTTATTTAATTAAAACTATTTTCAGCCTCAGTTCATTCACAATGGCCAATTCAGATTCAACAAACTAACCTAACCCCCTGTGTTTCTGAGGAAAATGAAACATCGCGCCAGCACTACAAGCAAAACATAGAAGTAATTTCACAGAAAAAACAGGATGATGCGTAGAACAGCTAACCACTCTGCCACATTCTATCAGCACAATGGAATATGTGTCCACAGGAGATAAAAACAGTAAATATTTATTTGTCTTGTCTGGTGCATCTTAACCCGTCGTCTCCTTTGTGAATCTGTCTGACTATAAGTGTGCTGAATATCCCAGAGGGCAGCACTGACTTTATCTCCATGACAGAGACCAGAGGCCAGGCTCGGTTTTATCTTTTGCTTTCAGAAAAATGTTGTTGTCAAAACAAAATGGTGTTATTCTGAAGTGGGGGAAGTGTTGGTCTTGTGTTTCAACAGCTACAGAAAGTGCATATAGCAGCCTTTGCCTAAAGCCGTGCAACCCTAAATTTACTTACTACCTTTATTTGCCCTCCAAAACTGTTCTTTCATCTGTTCTCTCTAAATCTCCTTCTTTGTCTCTCTGGCCCTCTTCTCCCTGCACGTCCGTAATCATGTTTTCAGCACATTTTTCTCCTCACATTAAAGATTCATGTGGCTCTTGTGACCGCAGACTCAGGCTAAAGATTTCAGTAGCCATCTTTGCCCATGTCTCTGGTTCTTTTCTCCTTCTGTTTATCATTGTTATCTTTGGAGGAAGGATGCAAAGCAGTTCACAAAAGACATATGAAACTGGTCTAAAGATGCAGTGGGCACAGGCTATTTTAATTCGCACAACGGGTGAGCCAAGCCAAGCCAGATATTGCAGTTTAAACTGTAAATGTAGTTCAAGGAACGCCCCTTTTGCTGTCTATTATTGGAAAGAACCTTTTCTTTCTAACTGTGAATGAGTTACAGTGAAATAATTGTATCAGGAATAATTGTATTAGAACTGTATTAACTCCTATAGTTATGCTATGGCAACAGATTAATTAGATTAAGGAGAATTCAACCTCAAGAAAAAATGATTGTTCAGTAACACAGTTTCTTCCATGTGCCACAAATCAATGTTATGTTTCTGAAATAACTGCACCATCAGCGAGTTTAGACTGGATCTGAGGCTGTATAACATCAGATATACACATGGAAAAGAAAGTCTACAAGTACATCAGATCCAGATGTGTTCAACATTATTCTTCAAAACAATCACATCTGAAGACCATGTTGTTGTAATAGTGGTGGCGCCCCTCTGCTCCTCAGCTCATAACCAGGTCTGGGTGGGACAAAGCTTAGTCAAACAAGCCTCATGTTAGCACAATATTGTAAAGTGCTGATGGAGACCTAAATCATAAACTCCACAAGTGGAGGAGATCCTTTAGTTAAGGGTATATTGTGTACAACCAAATGCTTGTGTCTAAACTTCCAATTTTGGTCCCATCTCAGAAAAATACGCTTAAGCAATACTTCAGATCAATTCTGACAGCTGGCATTCAAATATTATAAAGCATTTCATATATGTATCAAATCATGAAGAGCACATTTTTAACTTCTGCTGTTAATAATGATACAATGTATTGTGTAACAGCTGACAGATACAATGCAGCTTCTTGTTCAACATGTCAAGCCCTCACAGTTCAGGGTCTTAGGACTCAAACCTTGACTGCTCAAGCACAAGCAATTAGCTTAAATGGATTTTCAGTCTCAAGGTTAGCAGTCACACACCAGTCACAAGATTACAAACTGCTGCCCTGTGTCCATGCTGCTAACACCACACAGCCAAACCTAGAAAATCCCTTTAAAACCAGCCAAAACAATGTCTGATCATAATTCTGTCCAGCACAGTTCAAGGACAATTTATTTTGTGGAAAATCCTCAAACAATGTGTTGATTTACTTATGGGTAAAGCATTAAAGCTAAATGGGATTTATTGTGGTGGCGGGTCAAATCCAGATACACCAATAATGTGATTACTTTCACCCAAGAGCTGAGAAGCAGGGCACTTGTGAAGGCTTCTAAATTTACTCATAAAGAGATGTTGATTAGTTTGGGAGAGGCTAGTCCCATAATAAATAACCTTCGAGTTTGAACAGGGAATACCCTTTGTCTTTAATACATGCACTGTACACTCTTACAAGGAAGATCTACAGATATTACATTCACAGCAGGGAAATTTTGAACTTTTTTTTTTATCACTAGTGAACATTATAGAAACATTACTGTATATGTGCTTAATAGATTTTGAATGTTTACAAAAGTGTGCTCTCTATGATCTGTACAATGTGATATGTTGCTAAATGCTCCAAAATATTTAGTTTGATAAAGATACTTGAAATATAGATTCGATATATATTCTGTAAACAACAGAAACCCTTCCTTCTAGTATCATTTTCAGAAACAGATCAAAACAAATCAACACGTTATTGATGCCTGAATCAGACTAGTAAACAAGCATCACTCCATCCAGAGCTGCTCCGGTGTACCGCCCTCCCTCTCCCTGCGTGCTTCTCTCAACTTACAGGATCAATGCAAGGTAATTTCACATGGCCGTTCCCTTAGATCTCCTAAAAATCTGCCACATCAATAATTCAGGCCTGTTGGGCAGAGGGAAGCCTGTGGAGATGCATAGTAGAAAAGTGACCTTCTGTAACGCTATAGCAGACAAACAGTAAGAAAGGTATCAATGTAACAGCATGAAGCAATACAGTCCATTCAGAACAATCAGAGAAGTTCACTGGTTATAGTGTGTAATATAGGCATTCTACCATTCACTGTTCACTTTATAACTCTTCTGATGGAGGGGACCCGTTTGTCTGAAGATGTCATTTTTATCTTAATGTAACCTTGTCTAACTCTGCTACTCTCCATGCTTTTTAATTGGCCCTCGGGGGTAAATAAGAAAGACTGAACTGAATTAAAGTTCCACATTATGGCATTTCACATCTATCTTCCTGGAGACAAGCAAGTTATGCGACCAGACCAAGTTACAAGTTACTGTTGAAAGCTGACCCCATTCATAGTAAGAATTATTTCAAGCCACTTTTTAGCACTAAAACGTCTAAAAAAATCTATAATTGCAAGTTAAATATATTTAATGTCATACTGCAACAGGCAAAGCAATAACATCTTCATGGTATGGTGGCAGTCGACTTTTAATAATTTGGCAGATTTGAATTAGTAGATAAATAGGAGTGGAAATAAAGTAGAACCCACCATTCAAATTAAACATCATCTTACAGAGCATAAACTGACCACTATTCAAAATAAATGTGTCAGTGCTGGAGTTATTTATAGAAACAAACAGCTTTTGGCCAGTGGATTTTGCCCAATACATGAGACATTGCCAGTCAGACGTGAACTCAGCTTCCATTCAGTGACACAAAGGAGCTCGTATTTATCTGTGATCTTTATAATGAAGTTACACTCCCAGACACAGGAAGAAACAAACAAGCACTTATCTAAACTGAAATTATCTCTTACTTTTTAAAAATAAATCATAAAATGTATACTTCCAAATATAATTGATTTACATGCCAATTGCTGCAGCATGCAGTAACCCAAGTAATACAGAGAGATAAGCTATGTAGTGAATATCAGCATTTACTTATCAGCATTTTACTCATGTACAACTGTAACTGCACACATAGGTTAGCAGTAGTAGTAGCCTATATAGTAGTAGGAGTTGTAGTAGTAATAGTAGTTAATGCCAGAGTTGGGACCAAGTCATCGTTTTGCAAGTCTCAAGTAAGTCTCAAGTCTTTGACCTCAAGTCTAAGTCAAGTCCCAAGTCAAATACAGGCAAGTCCAAGTTGAGTCTCGAGTCACTGACCCATAAGTCCAAGTCAAGTCCAAGTCATCTGCTTTGAGCTTCAAGTCATTTCAAGTCTTTAAACCAAAGTAGCTTAGATTTTTGCAATTTATATAAATTTTAAACTAAATTGTACTTAAAAAAAGTCACAGTATATTTATATATGAGTATTTATAGAGTATGTAAGAGTGGTAGAAATTAGTTAAATTATTTTTTCCTTTTTAAATGTTTTGACAAGATCTTAGTGTGAATCATTATGGTCAGAAGAGAAAAAATTCTGATTTAAAAGTGCTTCCCAAGTATTCTCAATTCTCAAGTTCAAGTTGAGTCCCAAGTCTTAGTCAGTTTTATCAAGTCAAGTCTCAAGTCCTAAAAATAGTGACTCAAGTCTGATT